ATTATAACACAATTCCATTTCTGGTGTCAGGTATAATCAGCTTGGGGAAATTCATTATAATTAGAGTAAAAAATACAACCTCCAAAGCTGAGTCTGTCCCCCTGATTCTTATCTCATTTGTGTATAAAGCCTTTTCTTTGGTGCCAGTTTTCTCATTTCTTGCGGTCGTTGGGGTCCAAACCTCTTTCACTTGGTTTAAAAGTCAGCTGGGGAGGAAAAGGCAAAATGACTTTATTTCACCTAAGTGTGTGTGTGTGTGTTAGTAGCTCAGTCGTGTCCGACTCTTTGTGACCCCCTGGACTGTAGCCCACCAGGCTCCTCTGTCCATGGGATTCTCCAGGCAAGAATACTAGTCGGTTGCCACCTAAGCCGACTCAGTAAATAGACCTTTCTTGCAAAGGGAATGTTGTAAACCTGTGACAGTTCATCTGCGTAGTCGGAGAGATGAATCAGTAACTCCCTTTCAGAATCACCAGGCAGGCAGATAACCCTGTTCAGACCACATGCCTAGCATCACCACCTGGACCAGCAACTTGTATTGTGAGGTTTTGCTGATCAACTCTCATTGATGACAGCCAAGTGAGCCCCGAAAGTGCCAGAAACAAGTGGGAAAACCACCCTCCTTCATCTGCTTCCTAGTTTAGAGGTTTCAAGAGTATTTTTACTTTTCACAGCCAACAGAGAAATATTTACAATCAGCTGCTTCCTGCCAAGAAAACCTGCTACAGACTTTGAAAACAAGGGCGTATGCTCTTACCTTGATCCATGTGAGTGCTTGTGTGTGTGTGTGTGTTCTAAACTCTGAAGAGCAAATAAACACGTTCCGAGCCCCCAGGAGAGGTCGACTCTTTTCTCTCATACCATTGTTGTAATCGTATTTCTGTTCTGCCTGCAAAATATGAAGGCATTTATCATACTTTATCATTTCCATCTTCCAAAATGTCTGGTACTCTGCCTGTATCTTTGAATGCTCAGTTTTATCTCCTAATCATGCTGGAAGCAGGGACCATGTTTCAGGGGGAAGGCGGACCCTTGGAACAAATGTCATCTCCCTGCTCCTCACTAGCGTACAAGCTTCTGTGGCCCTTCAGTGTCTCGCATGCTTGCTTCTTTGAGAAGAGAAGAGGGTGTTGTTTGGCTTGAGTTGGAAAGCATTTCTTTAAAAACCTTTCTGCTTTCTTTTTCTCCCAATTGAACTTGAATTGAAGCCTTGGTATTACCTCTGAGTCCCAGGATCTCAGAGCTGAAAGGCTCATAGGAGCATCCCGGTCCCAAACTGCCAGCCTCAAAGGAGGAGGGGTCAGAAAACTGTGGGATGCTGTGAGTTTGTAGGATGCCATGGTTTGGTAGAGCCTAATTCGCATTCAGTTGGTATTTGGGGAAATAGGAGTTTGGGCAAAGCACCTGAGCAGCCCATGGCGGGGCCAGAAGGAGATGCCTCAGAAGCCTTTTGTCAAAGGACCGCTTGCCAGTTCAATAACTGTAGGAGTATCAGTGAGAAAGTGACAAGCATAAGGTTTAACATGGAATCAGAGTCTGCCGTGTCAGCTAGACAAGTGAGGACACACCGTGCTGCTTTAGACATGCTGCCCAGAGGATCAATAGGATGTGTTGAAGGAGATCAGCTGCTGCGGGATGCCCACAGGATCTAGGCTGTTGAACTCAGCCTTTAAAATTCCTTTGAACCCCTCTTTCTTTTCCAAGAGGGTTTCCCTGTGGCTCAGCTGATAATCTGCCTGCAATGCAGGACACCTAGGTTCGATCCCTGGGTTGGGATGATCCCCTGGAGGAGGGAAAGGCTACCTACTCCAGTATTCTGGCCTAGAGAATTCCATGGACTATATAGTCCATGGGGTTGCAAAGAGTCGGACACGACTGAGCGACTTTCACTTCACTTCACTTCTTTTCCAAGAAGCAGATAACCCTCCGTTTCGGAGCACCTGCAGCGTGGGCCCCACTGTGAGAGAGAGAATGTGCTTTGCCTGCTCTCCTTTGAGCCACAGCCCCGTGAGTTCCTGGGTGCAGAGAGGTGACCGGGTGGAGGTCAAGGGTCTGGCCTTGGACCACATGCCCCAGGACTTGACTTTCATGGATTTTCAGCAGCCCCTTCTCTTGTCTATCTTGTGAATCTGCCCAAAGACTGTTGGCTGTTGAGTCTGGACTCATCTATCTTAAAGTCTCCAAACCATTGATTATGGCGACACATAGAAATTCCTGCTCAACATCCACCTTATATCCACTGACCTTGTTTTTAATATTGACAACTTGGCAGCACTCAGGACTGCCTCTCTTCTGATTCAAATCATGAAAACTTTCATCCATACAAAGCCTACAAAGCTTCATCACCCTACAAAGCCTCAGGGCAGATCTTTTACGCTCATCACATTCAATGTACAGTCGCCCCTCAGTATTCTTCAGGGGATTGGTTCCAGGGCTCCTGTGAACACCAAAATCCATTGATGCTCAAGATCCTTATATAAACGGTGTAGTAGTAGTTAGGTGGGTAGACGGCTAGGCTGTCAGGTTTGAACAAAGTCTATTACTCCTCCCTTAAGAGCTCAGAATGAGGCCAGTACCCACCAAAGCCAAGTGTCCAGCCTCTTCTGCCCACTCTGATACCTTAGGGCAGAGTGAATGAAGAGATGAAACAGAGTAAAATGGATGAGGATGGGGAATTAAGAGCCCATTGCACTTGCTAGGATGGTGGCCAAATGGGGCCTCTTTGGAACACTCTGTAAACCATTTATTAATAATACCCTTCATCATAGCAAACAATTTAGAACTGGCCTGGGCAATGCAGTTTTGCAGAGTTTTACTTTAAACAGAATATTCAGTATATGTTGGCACTGCTTTACTGTTTAAGTACAAATCATTATTCAAAATATTTAAGTGCTTCATTTTTATTCCTAAGATAAACCTGGCTTAATATTGTTTTATTAATAAAAAACAAAAACAAGCAATCCTCTGTTACCTTGTTTAATTTGATTGCTGAAAAAGTTCTGCTTTGGCATAAGTTTGTGTTCATACTTGGGGAACCCTATTTAAGAAGACACATTATTATCAGAGATAATTCATTAAAACTGCAGGGTATTCATCTTTATGTACTATAACCATGAGTATCATGAACTTACAACTTAGAGTCCTGCTTCTTTCACTTAATGTTGTATCCTAATTATTGTTTGTAGTGCTACATTGGTTGTTGTTCAGTTGCTCAGTCGTGTCTGACTTTTTGTGACCCCTTGGGCTGCAGCCCAGGCTTTCCTGTCCATCACCATCTTCCAGAATTTGCTCAAATTCATGTCCATTGAGTCGGTGATGCCATCCAACCATCTCATCCTCTGTCATCCCCTTCTCCTTCTGCCTTCAATCTTTCTCACCATCTGGGTCTTTTCCAGTGAGTCGACCCTTCATATCAGGTGGCCAAAGTATTGGAGCTTCAGCTTCAACATCAATCCTTCCAATGAACATTCAGACTTGACTTCCTTTAGGACTGACTGGTGTGATCTCCTTCACATAGTCAGAATAATTTCCACGGCTGCATCATAATTCATTGAATGGAAGTATTCTAGTTCTTTATCTTTACTTTTCCCCCCATAATTACAAATAATTTTAAGCAGAACATCTTCTAGATCTCCCCATGGTTTTTTATTATTTCCTGAAGATGGACTCTCAGACACATCATATCAAGAGGATGGATGTTCTATAGGCCAGGCCTTCTCAGACTTCAGGGTACACATAGCTCACTTGTGGATCTTGTGAAAGGGGATTCTAACTTAGTACATCCGGGGCAGGTCTGAGGTTCTGTATTTGTGACTAAGTCACTGGTGCCGAGGCTGCTGCTCAGGCTTTAGACAGTCTGTTAAAGGCCTTGATGCCCTAGCTTTAGCCCCATCCTACTGACTCTGTCAAATCACTGTGCAGGCTGGTTGCCTAGGAGCCTTGCCCCTCAGGAGTATTTTCTGATCAAGAGGAAAGTTTTGAGTAGGCTGGTGTCCAGAGGAGGTGAGAGCTGTAGCCCCTGTCCTCAAGAGAAGCATCTAAACTCACTCCTGGCTGCCATTAGAATTACCTGGGGAGTCCACACACACACACACACACACACACACACACACACGCATGCACATGTGCACCATTAGGGTTCACTCCAGACTAGTGCAAGTAGAAGGTTCTATAATGAGGTTTGACTACCAGTATTTTGAAAATTTCCCAGGTTTTAAAGGCGGCCCGAGTGTAGCCCAGGGTTGAAGACTGTTGTTGTAAGTTCACAGAAAACTCACCTTAAATCTCACTGACTTCAACTGTGTATTAAACCTGACTAGATGAAAAGCTCAGGGCTTACCTACTCCACCTGACTCCACACTTTTGACAATGGATCCAGTGAAGCTACGAGTTGTTTTTGCAGTTCTAAAAACTAATAACCATAATTTCTGAGAGAAAATAAGAAATTTGTCACCACTGGCTTCTCCGTCAAACCCACTTTTCCATAGCATTTGCTGGTCCCATCTTCCAAGCTAAAACTCCCTTTCTTTCCCTCGCTTTTCAAAGCTAAGCTGTCATCAGTCATTTATTCTGCAGACACTTTTTTCATATAGAACTCCAAACACAGTATTGAAACTCTCTGTTAGCACAGCCGTAACCCTCAATCAGTCCATGAGCCCCTTGAAAGCAGAGACAGCCCCTGAATCAACTTTTTATTTCCCCCACCTTGAACAGTGCCTGTCTAGCACAGAGTAGCCACCCCTCAATCATTGTTGAATGAATGAATGAATGAGATTGAGTAGATTTTGATCACATGCAAGCCTGAAAGGTCGTTCTCATTGTTGAAAGCTTCACACCAGCGTGGTTCTAGCAAGAGCACAGATTGCCGAGATGGTGTCTGGTGCGAACATTTGGTCTTGACCCTGGGGGTGTTGCAAGATGGCAGACAGGATGCTCAGGGTGCCCTGTGTCCCTGCCGCTTCCCACCTGCTAGGATGACACCTGCTGTTTCTCTTTGGCAGTTGCCTTTTCAGGCCTTGGCTTCACAACGTTCTACTTGGCTGGCAAGCTGCACTGCTTCACGGAGAGTGGGCGGGGGAAGAGCTGGCGGCTCTGCGCTGCCATCCTGCCCTTGTACTGTGCCATGATGATCGCCCTGTCCCGCATGTGTGACTACAAGCATCACTGGCAAGGTGAGTCCCTGCCCTGGGCCCGCCCGGTCCGCACGCCGTCTGCCACTCTCCTGCAGGGATGGGGGGATACTTGCACCTCCTGCGGGGAGAAATGAGTGCCTGCTGTGAGAAACTAGAGCTAGCTGAAATGACAGAGCAGGCACAGTTTTAAAGAAAATGCATGTGTTCAGGTGAGCTCTGGCCTTGCAGGGGACAGAATCAGAGCTCCTCCCATTCCTTCATGCTCAACTAGGTGGCTCGAGTCTTACCAGGAAGGCAGGACCTCAGTCACAGACTCAGATGTGACTTCCCTGCTGGATCCCTTGCCTCTGTTCTCAGACTTGGTGCCAAGTGGTGGTTGGCTCCGATCACATCCACCCTACAAAGGCGTGTTTCTCACCAGCAATACTCTTCCAGAAGAGGTTTCCAGCCCAGGGATGGATGCCAGCAGCAACTGCAGGGCTGGGTGAGACTCACCTATATGTTTCAGCCCTGGGGGTGTCTGTGCCATGTCAGAATAACACAGGACAAGTGAGGTGCTTATTCCTGGAATAAAGCAAAACCATGCCATGCCCCTCTGCAGATCAGCTGCAGCTCTCAGCTTGCCTGAACCACAGCAGCATCTGCCATGGCAAGAAAGGGAGCAGAGACAGAGGCAGTGTCCATAGAAGGTGTGCCCTCCAGGAGTGCAGGGCTTAGGACTTGTATTTCCCAGAATCCGATACTCAGATCACCTTGATCAGGCCACTCCGAGCTAGGGATTGGACTCTTGGAAGTGGGTTTGGAGTGACCGCCAAAAGTGTGCATTGTTAGCAAGGCAGTCCATTAATTCTGAGGAAGTCTGAGAAGCACCATGGAGAGCTCCACTGTGTCCGCTTTCAGCAAACACTCTGAATGAAATGTGCCTAATCCTAATCCGGCTTCCCTGGATGAATGGCCTTCCATGATCTGTCTGTAGCCGGCCCCTCCTCTTCCTTTCCTGTCCTCCTGCTGTGCCCCGGGCTCATTCCCCTCTGCCCCCTTTTCTGACCACCCTCTTCTCACCTTTTCTCAGGTGTTTGTCCCAGTGGTAGTGAGGCAGCTGTTGAGGCCAGAGATGAGGGGAACTCCTGCTTGGAGGTACCTTTGCCCCATCTTCTCCAGGGGCCTTCTGCTCCTTCTCTGGCTTCAGCTCCACTTTCTACCCTCCTGCAACTCACACGCTGGGTGTCTTGAGCTTCCAGCAGCAGCTTCAACCTGGGGGTGAAGGGTCTGGGAGAAAAGGAGGCTGATGCATGGTCTAGACAGGTGGAGGCATCAAGGAGGTTTGAGGCCCTGCTGATGGGGGTGATCAGTAGAGGCCCATTGAGCTGCACCCTGAGCCTTCCCTTGTTCTCTGCTTTTATCAGTGACTTGGATGAAGTTCTGGATAATAAGGCCACACAATGGTGGGGGGAGGCAGGAAGAGAACTGCTGAGCCAATAGCACAAGGGCAGACCCATCACACCCGTGGAACTAGGAATATTTTCCAACAGAATCATGGTAACGCATGTGATTAAAGCATGTCCCCATGAGGACTGTTATGGGCTGGATGGCATTTCATGAACTGCTTCTCATTTATCCCTTGTAAACTGTAGTTTCTTTTTCTGAACATGGGAACGATAATCCCCCAACATTTCCCAGAGCCATTTCATAGACTAAATGAAATAATGGATCTGAGTGTACTTGTAAATGAAAGCATGTTGCACAACTGTGAATCGATATTGAAATTGCTTAGTGCATCATTTCTAAAGAAGGATGTGTTGTGTCTCCCAAGCCACTGATTTTGAGGTAGACATGCTTTTGGCACGTGGTCCATTTGTAAACTCTGAATCCCTAGTTTCCACTTTTATTCCTCCACATTGGATCTGAGAAATGATGAAGGATTTCAGAGTTGACATTTTGGCTTCATCTTGGAAGATAGTAAGAATCTTTGTGTGGTGATCTTGTCCTGAAAACCTAGGAAGAGAGGTTGGCCTGTCTTAAATGCTCTTTTGTTACTATTCATCTGTGGTTGGTGCATCATGAAAGGATGAAGAATCACAGTTCTTGGCTTTGGGGAGATGCTGGACTTGATGCAGCTGGTGCCCCCAAGCCCTGCTGGCAGCGGAGCTTCATGCCCATCCTATCCAACTGGCACAGAAGGGAACTTGGAGCAGTAGAGGGAGAATACTAATGCTCTGTGACCTGATGGGAAAGCAAAGCAAGAGAATTTATGATCAGTGATATGTAGAGCCCTACTTTGGGGACGGGAGGGGCAAGCCAAAGTTGCATCATGGTAGACCCATCCTGCAGCCCAAACTGAATGTGCCTGAGTGGGTTACAGGTCATGGATGTGGCCCAGCTACCCGTTCAGCTGTGCCGTCACCTGTTCAGCTTGTACCCCAGAGGTAGCCAGGAGCAGAGTGTGCCTTTCCTTGGATCCTCTAATGGGCCCTGAGTTGGGCTTATTTTAATCTGAATTCCCCTTTAGGGGGTCATCTGCCACTGTCTATACCAGTGGTCTCAATGGGGAGCAACTGAACCTCCTAGGGGACATTTAGCACTGTCTGGGGACATCTTCACAGATGGGGTGGTGGGAGTGGTGGTGCCTACTGGGATCTGGTGGCTAGAGGCCAGGGATGCTTGTCAACATCCTACAGCATACAAGATAGCACCTCCTCCACAGGGAAGACTCCTCAGCCCCAAACATCTACAGCTGAGGTTGAGAGAGCCTGACCAACACACTTCTTGGGCCTCCCAGGTGGTGCTAGTGGTAAAGCAACCACCTGCCAATGCAGGAGACATAAGAGACACAGGTTTGATCCCTGGGTTGGGAAGATACTCTCGAGGAGAGCATGGTGACCCAAACTCCAGTATTCTTGCCTGGAGAATCCCATGGACAGAGGATCCTGGTGGGCTACACTCCGTAGGATTGGACAGAATCGGACACAACTGAAGTGACTAAGTGCACACACACACACACCCCACCTCTCAGCTCCATCTTTCTTTCCCTTATTACATGTTAAGAGCAGCAGTGTTCAATGAGTGGAAAATTTTATTCGTTCAACACTCACTCTTTAAGGAAGTAATCAAGGAGGCTGGAGAGGTTTGTGGCTTGGAGAAGGGATAGACGGTGAGGCCCTTGGCTGCCGTGTGGGAGGGTGTTGGAGGCAGGATGCTTGGCTGAGATTAACAAGGTGTTGTTGTTTGTTGGTGGACTGAGCTGCCCGGTGACCGTGGGCGGGGGCCATCCGTCATGATGAAAATTCATGGGGAGACCCCTAGGCAGCAGTACAACCTGAGAACCTCTCATTATAGACTTTAGTTAACAACATTAATATTATGAGATTTTTATGACTCCATTTCAATTTTGATTTAAGCAACTGTGTCTAATGTGGAAGTATATCCAATTACTCGATTACATATTCATATCCAGTAAATAACCCATAATCTCAAATGCTTTGCTCTGTTCATTATCGTGGTTATCGACGCCCTTTCGGTCTTCTCTGCCTTCCCAGCTCCACTCCAAACACTCAAGTCTGTTGTTTTATTAAGTGAGGAACATTGGAGGGCACAGGCTGTTGTGTGGAGGGGCAATAAGACACGTGACAGGGCTTCTTCACAAACAAAACCGCTGGATAGATTATAAATCTTTCTGTGGCTGAAGTTCTCCTTGTCTCGGCGACATGCTGGCTTTTGGGCCAGCTGGAAACTCGAGAATCCCTGGGTGTTGTCAACGCTTCACAAAGAAGCCGAGCTTTGTGATTAACTGTGTGTTTTTAGCATTAAGACTTGTAGAACTCCCATGCCAGGGGGAACATCTGTGGAGAAAAACGCACAGGAAGAAGAGAGTACCTCCCTGAACCGTCTTCCGCCTCAGTTCATAGTCTCGTGGGTTTATGCTTCCTGTCAGGGGACAGTGAGAGCCGGAAGTGGCAGGAGTGTGTTGTTTTCTTCGTAAATGGACACAACAAGCTCCTTCTGCCCTCAGATCCTTGTATCTGATTCCAGTGTGCAGTACAACCTGAGAACCTCTCATTATAGACTTTAGTTAACAACATTAATATTATGAGATTTTTATGACTCCATTTCAATTTTGATTTAAGCAACTGTGTCTAATGTGGAAGTATATCCAATTACTCGATTACATATTCATATCCAGTAAATAACCCATAATCTCAAATGCTTTGCTCTGTTCATTATCGTGGTTATCGACGCCCTTTCGGTCTTCTCTGCCTTCGCAGCTCCACTCCAAACACTCAAGTCTGTTGTTTTATTAAGTGAGGAACATTGGAGGGCATAGGCCATTGTGTGGAGGGGCAATAAGACACGTGACAGGGCTTCTTCACAATTAAAACCGCTGGATAGATTATAAATCTTTCTGTGGCTGAAGTTCTCCTTGTCTCGGCGACATGCTGGCTTTTGGGCCAGCTGGAAACTCGAGAATCCCTGGGTGTTGTCAACGCTTCACAAAGAAGCCGAGCTTTGTGATTAACTGTGTGTTTTTAGCATTAAGACTTGTAGAACTCCCATGCCAGGGGGAACATCTGTGGAGAAAAACGCACAGGAAGAAGAGAGTACCTCCCTGAACCGTCTTCCGCTTCAGTTCATAGTCTCGTGGGTTTATGCTTCCTGTCAGGGGACAGTGAGAGCCGGAAGTGGCAGGAGTGTGTTGTTTTCTTCGTAAATGGACACAACAAGCTCCTTCTGCCCTCAGATCCTTGTATCTGATTCCAGTGTTCCCTTATGTGACCCCAACTTGCAAGTAACCTTCTAACCAACACTGATTCTCTAACCATAGCCCATTTTAAGCAGCCCTGGGTGCCTCAGGTAGTGTTTCGTCATAAGAAAGGGCACCTAGGTCTGAATGTAATCCAGAGAAACAAGCCTCAAGGGAGGAAGCAGTCGTTTGTTCCCACCCAGCCTGAGGCCAGGACGCGTCCATGTTAGTCACAGACACCATGCCTGACTGGCCTGAAAATTTCAAGATGGCGCCACTGCTTTTGCCGGGTTTCCTGACT